TCGTTCTAAACGAATATTTTTCGTACTTCGTTAATCTTCAAACGATTTTTGCCTGAAGATGGACCCAGGAGGGGTCTGAAAACGTTTGTACTATTAAATTTTTTATTTCGCATCGGTTAAAGGTTCTAAGGTATGTGATATTTTGTTAAATCCGATGTGCAGATGATAATTATTATTATTAGAAATTAATTAATTTTACTAGAGGTAGGCAGTTATGCTACCATCTTATTAAATTTAATGACCAATTCCAAATTAAATTTTAGAAATGTCTAAATTAAAAATCAATTATTTATAATTATTAAATTTAATTTGGTTTGGTTGTTTGAGACATATTTTTTCGATTTTTTTCTTTTCTGCAAATCGAATTTGTATTACAGGTTGATTCATTCCGTGCTAGAAGAAAAGATGAGAATGATTCACGCTTCTTAACAGTGTATATTGTATAATTTTCTTCGAATAAACATTATACATAAAATATTTGAGTATTTTTTCAGTGTGGAACACATTATTGTATTTTACGTTAATTTCTATGGGAAAAATTGTTTCACATTACGAGCAAGATTCTGGAATAAATTATGTTCGTTAAGCAAGGTTCCACTGTAATTACATTATGTTAATTTTGGACAGGACATTAAGGAAATTTAATATTATAATATTAAATCCCCTTAATATGCATATTATTTATGTTTTTTTTAATGAATTTTGGAAGTTAAGGAACAAAGTGTAATAATTTTATTTCAGTTATAAATATGATTACAGATATGAATGTGGAATTGACATAGGATTAAGCAAAGTGAGCACCATTGAGTGTTTACCTGTCAAAGAATTGTGAAGAATGTTTTGTAACTCCTTTTATACTTGAAATTTATTATAAAACATATATCTGCACAATAAGTATATAGGAGCACCAAATTTTGCCTTATAGGCAAAATTTTGGAATAAAATTTTTTTTCCTGAAAATTAAAACTGCTTAATGAGAACAGCAAACAAACCAAGTAAGGATGAGATTTACTGAATAGTTTCTTCTACAGACAGCCTATCTACTCTAGTTATGATCAACTTATGTGTTAATAAAATACTACAATAAAATGTATTATTATTTTTAATAAATTTTCAAAAGCAATTTAACAATTTTCTTAGTTTTTTTTTTTTTTAATTTAATGCCAAACAGCCTGCTGGATTTGTTGAACTCTATTAAAATTTATTTGGATTTGTTTTTAAATTTTCTTAACATTTTAATATTTCTTTAAGGTTTTATCCTATTTATTTATTTTATAAAATTTTGTTTCTACATCCAGAAACAAGATCAAAGATCAAGATCATATCTGACTAAAAACATTTATTTCCTAAAATTTTAGCAGAAAATTATTCTTAAAGCTAGAACTACTAAATAATTGAAGACAAACTGATCTTTCTTAAAAAGGAAAAGTACAAAAGGTCAGTTTGTTGTCACTCATTTATTCCTTTTTTAAAAGTATTGATTGACTGAACTAAGCAGTGGCTTGATTTCTAGTTTATTTAACATAAACTAGATAAATTAAAACTACTTTTTCCTTCAATTTCTACAAGCAAATATTCAATTACTTTGAAAGAAAAATTTGTACATACATTAGCTGTTTTTCAATTTTAAAATCTTTGTTTAATGCATATTTTATACATAACATAGTACTATATACTTGTTCTTTTCAAGAAATTGTTTACACCCATTCATTCTTTAAAATAAATGCTTAGTATTATACTGTTCATTATTGGATTGTTTTCTACATTTGTTAATACTCTCTTGATTTATGTATTTTTGGAATACATTATTTATTATTTTAATTAACTCAAAGACTGTTAGTTTCCTTTGTATCAAATTTTAATTTACATTATTTATCTTCTGATTAAGTTTATTCACAATGAATTCTGCAACTACATAATCTTTGAAAACTGTTCATTTTACTTTATAGAAATAGTCTTATGAAATAAAATAAATATTTGATTTTTCATATAATTAGTAAAGTTTACAGAAAACCAATTGTATTATAATAGATTTATTTCATTTTCTCAATTTTTCTACACAGATGAGTTTTATCATTCTAAAAGTAAAAATCCAGAAATGAATTGCAAAACTTTCCCAGATTTGTCATGAAAGTTATGCAACTCATTGCTGAATTTTTAAATGTAGGCTGCTATTTCGGGAAAATTTTATAACACAAAATCATCAAGTCTTACCCTAGCCAAAATACAACACAAAAGGATTTAAACATAGAACATGAAGGGTCACAAGTTACATACTCCAAAATTTAATAGCATTAATGCTTATTAATACAAGTTAGCATGTCAAATTTTGTTTCTTAATTTTTACCCCATCCTAAAATATTAAACAAAATAGATACCAACACAAACATGTGCAGAATTTCTTCCCCCTTTTTTACTTTTTGGGTTCAGGAGGAATTGAAACTTCAAGATTTGCAAAAAACCTGGAGGGTCAAATTTCATTATTACAATACCTTCCCATGTTAAATACAAAACAGCTGGGAAAGTAGTATTAGAAAAAGTGTAATTTTTGTTGTGCTTCCAATAAAGTAGGTTTCTTATAAATTACTATTTTTCGTAAATTTTCCAAACACATCTTTCTATTTTCATACAAATCAAAAACTAATACAGTAGAGCATCGATTTTCCGAATCAATTGGGGACTGGGGTTGTTCATATAACTGATATTTCGGATAACCGATTTATGTACGAAAAAATAGTTTAACGTATTCGATGTTACAATTTTTATCTGTTGCATGTCGCTTTGCGTTGAATTTTTGTTGATGTTATGCCTAACAAAGACTATTGTATCGTTATTTTTTATTTTGTTTGTACAAAATAAAAAATACATTGAAAAATATAAAAACAATAAAAAATTATACTTCAGATGTTAATTTAGTATAAAAAACATAAAATATTTGAGTTGCCCAAGACATAGCCAAAGATTGAAGCGCCACAGCACTGGCGAAAATTTAAATTTGCCGACTGGAATTCTTTCGAATGATTGACTTTCAGAAAATCGATGCTCTACTGTAAATGTATCTAAATTTTAAAAGAATAACTTCTTTACATTTAACAAAGCTGATTTTTTTTAAGTTATGATGTAGTCTTTTTACAAATATAAACATCCAAACCTAATAGCCTTATATTAAAGCCGAATTATATCAGGCTATATTACTACTAAATATTAATACTTACCAGTAATCTAGCCCAATATAATTTGGCAATCCTTTGGCTTTAATATGTAGTCTTTTTATTAAGAAATATAAGTTAAATATTATGTAAAAAACAATTCAAAATCAAATTACAAAATTAAAAAAAGTTATTCAAAAAGAATCTAAAAATATCATTATTACATACCTATTTGTACATAAACTAAAATAAAAAATAAATGATCTATTATTTATGTTAAAACTGAATAATAGTATATATTTTAAAAAATAATAATAATTTTATTTTTTTATACCTACTATTTTTTGGTAATTTCTGGCTAACAAATAAAGAATAATGTGAGATCCAGGGGACCAGAAACTTCCCTCAAAAATGAGAGTCATAGCAGGACTCTCATTTTTGAGGGAAGTTCCTGTCATTTATGAGGGAAATGTTAACTTTGATACTAATTCAACAAGGAATATCCTTGTTGCTTCTTCCCACAAATTGTCCCTGATGATTGGACAATTGAAATAGAATAAATAGGACCAACCATGACAGACTAGGGCACAGAAACCCAGTTGAGACCTTCACACCCTAGTGTTTCTCACCAACCCTCTGAAAATTCCCATCTGAAGTCAATGCAGAAACAAAAGAATTTTTCTCCAGAAGAAAAAAAAAGAGAATTATAAAAAGATTTACAGGTAATATAATTTTGTTGTAAACTCTCTCTCTATCCATTGGATAGAAATAGGGAAAAGTAGCATAATTCCTGTAAATTTTTAGAAAATCCATATAATCATAGTTTCCATTTAAATACGTTAAAACTTGATTTTTGTTGTTGTTAATCTCAATTTATATTTTGTTATCAGTATTAATAAATTTGAAATTTTATTTGGATATTGAGTATGTCTGGTTTCATAAATATTTAAGATCTAACTCCATTGTCTTACTCGTGTTATAACAATGAACATTCCCTCCTTTTTTACTTCTTGTTGATCAACACATAAATTAGAGTGCGTTAAAATTATTCTAACTGGTGTCAGAAATCCTGACATTTTATTAAAATTATATTTATGACCATCTTGTACACATGTGATGGGGCTGACTGGAGCCCTGTAAATTCACAATAAAAATAAAAAAAACAGAGAAGTTAATAAATTAACAAATGTCTACAATAACCAAACAATAATGTAAAATATGATAACCTGCTTATATAAAAAATGAAAAAATCTAAATAAAGAGTTACATTATTTACAAAATATACAGTAAACAAACTATCACACACAAAATTTTTTTAACCAGTAACTGAACTTTAACGTAATTTCCAATGTTTTTGGCCTTGGTTAAAAAGGTTTTGTGTGTGATAGTTTGTTCACTCCAGTAAGTTGAGAAGAAGACTGTTATAATATACAGTAAACAAAATATTAAATCTAACTACCATAGAGACAAACTGATTGTGCCAGACAAAAGAATCTTTCTCTGGAAGTTATTGAAAATCTATTTGTAGAAAATGGGAGAGAGAGTGAAAGTGATGTAGTGATCAATAAAAAGAACTGAAACAATATTTAAAAATATAGATTCAAGTAGATTTAAACTTTTTATAAATAGTTTTAAATAAACTGCAGCTATTTTAATAGAAATATAATTTTAGGAATCAATTAAAATGAATTATAAAATAATCTAAAAAATTATTAAATTAATTCTAAAAGTGATGATCTACTTTTAATCAAATTCTTCTACCACTAAGAAAAATGCTTAAACATAATAAATAAAATGTTAATTTTTATGTATTATTTTAAAATTTATAAATATTAACAAAAACCTACATACCGTTTTCATTTCTGACGGCAAGAAATTCGCCTTTGTTGAAAACGATTATCTTATCTTCTGCAGTCTTTGGAGAATGACGTAGAATGGGAGGAATAATTGTGGGTGGTGGCGGTGACTGAAAAGGTTGATATTGTAGTCGAATTCGTTTACTTGATCTTGGGATGGAATTTTCTGTTTCTGGAGTGGCTGTGCGTTTAGGACGCTTTTTATTAATGGAGGGAGAAGACTGAGATGGATGTTTATTTGATTTAACACTAGAACTATTTTCTAACATTGTTAAAGATGTATTTTCTGATGAAGAGGAAGCATTCTGTAAAGACTGGGAAACACTGTGCACAGAGGAAGAACGCTTAGTTGACTGAGTCTGTAAATGAGATGTAGATACCGAATTTTTAACTGGCCTTCTCTCGTTAACAGCTGTATGTGCTGGAGGAGATTGGCGTGTGGCACGTCTCTCAGTAGAAGGTGACGTTTTACTTGTATTTGAAGTTACCCCCGGCGAATGTCTTCGGAGACGACTACTGCCTGATGTGTGACGAGTTGATCTACCTTCTTGTATGGCTGATGGGGTGGCAGGTTTTATAATGGGTCTTTCTGATAATTTTCCATTCTGAGNTAAAACAATCTTAAAAGATAACTTTTTATTATTATTCAAATAATGAAAATAAAATATAGCTGATTTTAAATTCATACTTTTTTGGTGTGTGTGTGGAACACTCGGGGCAAGTTTGCAGAACATAGGTTATTAACCATTGATCTGATAAATTTAAATTCTAAAATATTATTTAATTGCAAATAAAAATACATATCTATTACACTAAACAAATATTAAAATGTGTTCCTTCCCACACACTCAATGAAATTCTTTTGAATAGTCTCTCTTATGTATAAGTTTACATCTTTTATTAATACTGATTAGTGTATTTCTTACATTTAAAACTTTTTGTAACTAAAATTTACATATTTAATCAACATAAGTTGATGTCTATGTTTTGGGATGATTTACATTACTGATTGAGCATATCCACACAGAATAACTGACCCAAGTATGAAAGCATTCAAAAACATGAGAAATTTTTAAAATACAAATAATTTACAAGCAATCATAACTGATTTCAACAAAATAATTTTAAAACATTTTAACAGTATGACAGTTAAAAATATTGATTGGAATGAATGAGTTTCCAATAACAACTGAAAGCATTGTTACTGCTATTAATAGTAATTTATTTTTAAATAAAATGCAAGAATATAACATGAAAAATTATATCCTTAAAGTGTGTCATGAGAAAAAGATGAGAGCATATTTTGAATCCAAACATTAATTCATTTGCATATAAATTTTGATGAGAAATTAGAATGTCTAATTTGTTAATTTTACTGTTGAAATGTTAGATCAGTGGTTCTCAACCTATGTTCTGCAAACATGCCCAGAGTGTTCCACACACACACACACAAAAAATGTTTTTAAAACTTTTTATTGCAAATTTATTCCGATATACTACAACAAAGTACATTATTTGTAGAAAATTCCTTGTTTACTATTTTACACAAGTCAAAGTTTATTAGTTCACTGCTTTGATGTTTCATGAGAATAGTATACCTGTTCCTTATTGATTTTTGAATACAGTATATTAATTTAGTGCTCCGCATTATAAAAAAAATATATGAATGGTGTTCTGCATCCTCAGAAAGGTTGAGAACTACTGTGTTAGATAATTAATCTGATAAATGAAATTAATAAATTAGACTGTCACAAGACTGCAAGACACATAGTAAACATGACTTCATCAAGGTCAAATTCCTTCCACCCAACACAATTCCATTACTGCAACCAATGGATCAGCAAGTGATTTCCAATTTTAAAAAGCTGTATACCAAGGCACTGTTTACCATGTGTTTTCAGGTTACCAATGATACCGACTTAACTCTTAGAGCTTTTTGGAAGGAGCATTTTAACATCCTGCATTGTATCAATCTTATTGACAAAGCCTGGAATGAGGTCTCTCACTGCACTTTGCAATCGGCCTGGAGGAAACTTTGGCCAACTTGTGTCCCAGAGCGAAACTTTCAGGAATTTGAAGAAGAGAGCTCTCCTGATGTAGTGCATGAAATTGTGTCCATTGGCAAGAGTTTGAGAGTAGAGGTAGATGATGCAGATGTGGAGGAGTTGCTGGAAGACCATCAAAATGAACTAACAACAGAAGAGCTGGTTGCCATACAGGAAGAACAGATGAAAGTCTTACAAGAAGAGCATTCGCCAGAGGAAGAGGCTAGGGAAGAAATCACCAGTACTGATATGAAGGAAATTTGCTGAAAATGGAATGATGTGCAGGAATTTATCGAAGCACCGTCTTAACAAAGTTGTGGCTAATAGGATCGTTAATTTAATGAATGACACTGTACTAGTGCATTTTAGAAAAATTTTGATTAAGAGAGTAAGACAATCAACTTTAGACCACTTTCTTGTTCCTTATCAAAAGAGACCTCAACTCGAAGAAACTCCTGATGCAGTGATACCCGATATTTTTATGGAGGGGGATTCCTCTTCCAAGCATTAAGCTCTGTAGAAACAAAGGTATGTACAGTGCTACTTTATTAAATAAAGTTTACATATTTGTTGCTGTAATGATAGATACTACGTTTTCTTATATTTTCATCAAAGAAAACCCATTTTACAAATAAAATTACAAAAATACTGATGGCTAGAATGGATTAATTGTATTTGCATTAATTTCTATGGGAAAAATTGCTTCGGTTAACAAACAGACTCGTGGAACAGATTACGTTCATTAACCAGGGTTCCACTGTACAGTACCTTTGTATGCTATTACAGAAACCATACACTTTACAAATTATTAAAGAATGGCAAAGATAGGTAAACAGCAAAAGGGCAACCAGAACATCAATATACTCCAATCCTATCACAGATGGAAGATTTAACCAACAATTAATGTATATTGGTTCTACAATAGATCTTTAACAAGCAGACTGGCAGAGCAAAAACATAATATTGGTACCAATAATCCAGTAACTCATTTAGTACAATGTGACATAGCCTGGGATATCTGCAAACCTTAACAAGGTTAAATTATTACGGCATGTGTGCAATGAACACAAACTACAAACATTAGAAATATTACAAATATTTAAGGCCACATTAAAAAGAAAATGTATAAATCAAAGACTGTGAATCTCTATTGACCACATGGCAATCTTTACATGATAATCTGTGAAAACATTTCATTACAAGATAGGCAAATCAACCATAACACACACACACACACAATATATATATTAAAACTATAGTATAATATATATATATTATACTATAGTTTTTTTAAATTATGATTGTAATTATGAATGCAAGAGAAATATAGGATGTTCTGTATCTTAAAAATTAAATAACATCACTTAGGAATAACAACACAATACAATTTCAATTTCAAACTTTACCAAATTGAAGCTAGTGTGAAACCTGATACAGGTTTTTAAAATATGCTGAAAATGTGTGTGTTCTCAATAAATTTATATGCTGGAAATGCAAGTATGAGGTAGAGATTTTCAGGTTNTTTTCGTTTTATCTTCTCACTTTCGAAATCCTCCTCCTGGTACCTTTGGGAAAGTCTCTTCGGTATCACTTGCTTTCACATATATATATATTTATATATACTTTATCTTTATATATATATATAATGTATATATGTATTTAAGAAGAGTAACAAGTAGACGTTTACCACCTTTCCAATTATCGTTTACAGTTTGTCATCGTGAAACACCTGAGACAGGTGTACTAAAATTTTTGCAAACTTTTAAGTCCACAGGTGTTTGGCAAAGTTGCTATAACGTTGAGCTTTTACTGCTGATCAACAACGTCTATTCCGCCACCTAGTGTATGATTGTGGAACTATAGCAACTTCCAACAGCAAATTTCGATTAAAAAATAAAAGAAGAAAAAAGTGACTATTTTATTACAATTATTATATTAAAATATAAACCTACTGGAACGAATGTCCGGCGACGAGTTTCTCGTTCGATGACGCAACGCGTGGACACGAAAGTTTATTATTAGAAAATATTGAATTTCCAATTCCATTAATTCCCAGTAAACACATTTTATGCTAAATGTTAAGTGTCTAAAATATTTAAATGTTCAGTACAGTATAAAAAAAAGAGAAAAATTTTGACATAATTCTCTTTTGTGGAAACAGTGTACAATTTAATTACAAGAGTTTAATAATTCAATCTTTCAATGCAAACAATTATATTACAACATAAAAAATTTATAATCATTTTTTCATTCTATGCAATTTGTGACCAAACATGCTTTATGAATAGATTTAAATAATAAATTTGTTGTTGTTATGACTCCTTTTAATCATGTCATTTAAAATATGACTCACTGTATGCATAATTTCTTGATTACAGATTTCAGTCTAATACATAATAAAACAGAAATCTTTTATTACACATTAGACTGGAAAACTTTTGAAATAACAACACTTTAAAATATTTAGTATGTCACCAAGTTAATTACCGTTAACTGAAATTATCTGTTTACTCAATTAATAAAACAGCACTATTTTATTCGATCATTAATAATGTTACTTGCTAAATAAATTAAAATTTATAGATTTATACTTGATTTTGACTAACTTATTTAAAAAATAAGAATACAAAAATCAATTTTTAAATAGTTTCAGCACTCCTTTCAAAAGATTAAAAATCTTGGAAAGTATAAAAAATTCTAGACAGCTACAAACAATAGACCACATAGAATACATGGATATATTCCAATAAAAAATTCAATAAGAACAAATTGTGCTTCAATGCTAAAGGCAATCTGCCTTCTAATTAAAAATCTCTGATTGAAACACTCATTTAACATAAAATATAGTAATTATTTTTTTAATCTAAAAAAACTCCACTATATATACAGAAATAAAGTAGAAAGATTTAATGGCACTAAAAATTTAAACATATATACATGAAGAGTTGTTCAAGTGCTTTGAAATCAAATGATTTTGCCTCCAGGAATATAACAAATAACATGAACTTGTGAAAAATAATATGGAGGTGAGTGCCCTTCATGATGAGGACATTCATTTTTAAAGCCTTCCTGAGAATGAACTGCTTGATTCAGAAGTACTTGAATGGCTTTCCATGTATACATTTAAATTTTTTGCTCTGTTAAAGCAGAGCAAAAAATTTAAGTATATGGAGCACAGTTCTAAAAACGCTTGGTTCTGAATGTGTATGGTAAAAAATTTCTCCAAATAAAGCAGTTTGTTTACGATGGAGTAGAATAATCTGTTAAATTAAAACTTTTCTCTCTAATTTTTGTAGTCTTCCATCAATTAAAATACTTTAAATATGTATTCTCATATGTTTTGTATTTCAGATTTTCATTATTAATCTTCTTTATTCAAACAAAAACAAACAAACACATTGTTTTTACAACCTTATTTATGCATTGTCTTGAAACATTTAATTTTCAAAATCTAAAATTCTAAAAATTAAAATGTTTCAAGTTGTCTGAACAGAATTTTCAATTCATTTCTTCATTCTTTTTAATTAAAAAATAATAGTGTAAGTACTTGCATACAGACA